AACCTTAATTAGATAAACTGCTTAATTGAATCTCTCCTACTGTGCCTCCACTTCTCTTGAAAACAGAATGCTCCTTAAGTGAAAACTAAGTTTTAACTTGGCATTAAATAAAGGCCATTTCATTTAACGAAAGAAAGTAATTTATTCTTTAATTTACAGATTCAAGTTAGATTGGGTTCTTCATACCCTTCCTCCTTCTACTAAAGTTACTTTAATCTCTGGTTATCAAATGAAATAAATCCTTTTAAGTATTTACAAATTAAACCAATATTATTTCAGACAAGTTATTTGTGAACCCACTACACGATGCAACTTTCTGAAACAAAACCCCAATTAACACCAAAGCATTGCTGAAAAGGCCTGCAGCACAGCTGTGTTCCAAGGGAGAGAAAAAAGGTAAGAAAGAATAAATATTTAATTTATCTTGAAAAAGTTAACCTTGCATTAATTTCTACAGCTCTAGTTAGTGAACAGCTTTACCAAATTAGTTCAACATCAAAGCTGCTGTTCATGGTGAAGACAGTGGGGTTGAGGTTACATCATGCAAGCTTACGGAGAATTGTGCAACTTAGCGTATTGAGGGTTTTGAATTTTTAGAAGCTCAGCACGTTGTGTTCTCTAAATCCAAATACACCATTCCTTTCTTTTGCTCCTATAGAAAATGCTGAGATATTCATGCAGCATATTCATCTTACATGAACCAAGAAAGCAAGGACAAACATGATTTTTCTGGGATATAGATTAAATTTAACTTTTATAAGGTATATAATCTAAAGAACAACCTCAGAGATGTGACGGAAGATGTGAAATAGATTTTTTTAGGTCATAAAAAGCAGGCCTAAAAGTGTTTATGTGCAGAAAGTGGATCAACAGAAAAACCACAGAGCGGTGACAAATGAAGGAGCCCACACTGAGCTGGACAGCTGGGTGTGATACATGGACCTAATTGTACAGTACAGGCAACAACATTCACATATTTAATGGGCTGTTTAATTTGCTTTTAATCATGTTTCCCCCTCATTTCATCACCAAACTACATCGAGGTAAACTCCAGAAAAATACCTGCATGTGTTTTCTGTCATATTTGCGTCTCGTGGAGTTTTTCTTATGTCAGCTGTAAGAAAGGTTCTATTTGCATTTCAAAAGTATTCACATCCAGTGAAATGTTTCCAGATTTTGCCTAAATTAGGAACACAATTATATTGTAACTTGTAAATTGTAACATAAACGCACAATTTGAAAAAACAAATTGGATGCTCAACTCTTACCACAGATTCCGAACTACATTTAGGTTTAGATAGAAAAAATGAAACACTCAACTCTCAATGCAAATTACTCGTTATTTGTTTTATTTTGAGCAACTTTTTTTTTTTCCAGTATTTGGAGTTCATTTATTTAAGTTGTCAAAGTAAATTGCAAGCGAAACCTCTTTAGGATTGGCTTTCATGTTGCAATTCCTGCAGCCCAGTAACATGGACAATTAATTTGCTTCTGAATAATGTTCTTCTGTGCTCTCCTATGCATAATTAATTAAGTAGACAGCCATATTATGGTAGGTTTGCAGTCATGCTATACCCTTTCCATTTTCAGATTATAGATTGATCTCTTCTCTAGGAGATGTTCAAAGCTTGGGGTTCTGGTTTTTGATCTCTCTGCTTTAAACTTCCTCCACAACTTCAGTTTATGGCTGAAACATTAAAAAAATTGAACAGATTTTAGAGGCACAAACTATTAGGGTAAAGAAAGCGTCCTTCTACAGTTGCACAATTCATAGAGTCACAATTTCCTGAACCTTAGGTGCCAGGCCACCTTGCACTTTTAATTTGCTTTGTCTCTGGGACGTATAACACAGGCAAGGTGTCGAAATGAGATAAACATACTGCTCCAGGGGTAATTACAAATTCCCTACTGAGGATGGGGTCACTTCTTCATACTCTAAAAAAGGACATAAAATAATAGCTCATCTCTTGTATGAAAAATAGCAAATAAAACTTCCTCTTTTCATCCAACTTTGGCCCACCCTGGGTCCTCCTATAGTGCCTATTAACTCCCCAAAGTCACTTTCCCTGTCTGCCTTAAGAACGGTTTTAGCAGGATTGTTTCCACCTCATTTCCTAGGCAACCTCTGAGACGACTCCCATGTCAGACCAACCTGCGCTGACAACCCCCTGCTGGAACGCGCACACACACATCCAGCGTGGCTTGGATCATCTCCTTCGTTTCTCCATCTTGATTGACTAGCTTCTGCTCACAGCCTGCCAACCCTCCAGGGTCATTTACGCAGCAGAGAAGAAAGGAGATAGTGAAAAAGACAGATCAGAAAGAAAGGGCCCAATAAGGGGAATGAGTATCAAGGGTTATAAAAAAAAAGAAGCCTGTCTCAGGTCGAGCTGTCAAAAAAAGCCCCCTGCTTTCCGAAGCTGCAAACCTCGTATTCTCTAGAACGACCCCCCACCTGTCTTCTTCACACCGAACCATTTTTTTATTATTATTTTGGGAGGCGACTTTGTTGCTAATTTGTTTTATTTTTTGAAGTGAAGTTGAAATTCAGCAGGAAAATGAACAGTTTGCCAACCGTGCACCTCAGGCAAAAGAGAAAGGAAAATGATCAGGACGTTGTGGAAGATGACGTTCTGGTATGCTGCAGTTTTAAGCATTTTTATCATCTTGGAAATAAAAAATTTAAAAAAAGCCATTTTAGGCATTTGCGGCTGCATATGTAGAAGCCACAACTCTGAATAATTTTGCTAAAGTTCAACCAGGTTTTTTTGCTCATGCAGCAAATAGTTGTTCTTCAACTTCTTCCGCTTCATCTTGTAGCTTTGTGCTTGAGGTAATTATGGCACAGAATGTGTGAATACTCATTTCCATTTCAGCTTTCTGAACATTGAAGTCTTTTGAAAAGACCTGAATTTCTTTAGGCAGTGCTAAGGCAGAAAAAAGTACTAGTAGCTGTATTGTAGAAAAACTGCATGAATAGATTAACTGACTTGTCTCATACAAATAAGGAATGCAAATAATTCCTGCATCATTTGTTTTGTTTTTCACTAATTGAGCAAAAGCGATTCATAATTATTTGGAAGTGTTGGTTACATAGAAGTAACTGGGATGAGAGCTCGCTCTTCGAGATACCTAAGCTCATGATGCAATGGTTGAAACATTTCCTTGCTTTAAAGTAAATAAAAATTTGAAAATTAATCAGAATTTGACATGCAAAATCATTTTACAATGTTTTGTTACTTTCTAAGTTAACAAATCGATTTCTGCTTCTATCTTTGCCTAAAAAGTGACATGCCTGGGTCTCCTTTCTCAACCTGTACTCCCTTTCTAATTCAATCTCATACATGTGGAAATTACAAAAAAATAAAAATAAATAAATAATCTCTCTCTCTGTGATAAATAATACAGCCCACATGAAGTAGCTGAAATGACATAAGCAGTGCCCTTCAATAGAGGAAGCACAAATATGATTAGAACTGTTTACCTTTTTTTTTTTTTTCTTTTTTTGTAGGCCATGGCTAATTGCAGACACCTTATCGACTTAATTACACATCATTCATGGGATCAATTACCAAAGTAAGTAATTAACTTATTCAGTGTGTGTTTGTCCAGCTGTCAGTGGGGCTTTTGTCCCTGGAGGTATGGTTTGCTGCATCATTAATCTGAGAGGCTTGGCAACTACAACCTGACCCACATTACAGCATGTCCACATCGAATGGGGAAATCTGTCAAGCTTCCTGGTGTTTGTGAAGAAGTCACTTATCAATTGTGGGGATTTTTTGGTACATTTGCACAACTAAATTGATTAAAAACCTCAGCAGATGGACTTTTGTCAAGTAATAGTTGGACAAAAGTCCATGCCTTGCTGCATTTTACAATGAAGTTAAGTTTTATATCAAGACTCTGACAAAAAGTAACTATTTAAAACAATTAAAATCTGCACTGCTTAATGTATAGTTGGGAACTGAAGCCCCTTAGCTTTTCCTTGAACAATGTTATCTGTATTTGTTTTTCTTGAGGCATAACAAATGTTTCACTCTGTCGTTATACAGTGTGTCTGCGAATAAAGTAAAAAAAAAAAAACATCTTCCCCCGCTCCTCCCCCCTCACACACAACAGTGCAAGGGGGGAGTGACATCACAAACTGTGATGTCACTCATCCTCTCTGTGACATCACTGGAGACTGTCTCTATATTCCAAGATTCCACAGAGAGATTCATTTGCGGTTTCACAAAGTTCAACAAACATATAGCGATGGCGGAGTATTTTACAACGGTGGAGGTTATTGAGAAGCGATGCATGGAGCTACAGGACGAGAATTCCATGCTAAAAACAACGGTGGACAGCATGAAACAGAAAATACACCAGCTAACTGGGAGGACAGACAGTGGCATCACTGATTTGATGTCCGAAAATAAAATGTTACGGGAAAGGATGGAGCAACAACAATGGAGAATCAAGGCGCTCAATAATGAGCTGGAGGAATCCAGGGTAACAATTCAATCACTGAAACAACAGTGCAGTGACTTATCCAAGGAAAACCAAAGATTGGAGTCGAATAACATTTCAATCAGAAGGAGGGCAGAGAATGCTTTGAGGGAAAAAAATAGAGATCGCCAGTGGTTAGAGAATGAAAATAATGAATTAAATCAAGAATTGGTCACATTGAAAATTAAATTAGACAGAGTAAAGTCAAGGTCAGCACATGCCCAGGATGCAAAGACAAATGAGGACATGGCAGTAAAGATGGTGGATGAGCCCAAGCAAACAGTGTTTCAGAGAGTTGGGCGTGTTTTTGTTCAGATGTACCAGGAGGGTACACTACGATATTGGGTACCATCATGGATTTTTTAAAAGTGCTGTAAATCTGCCATTTAGACAAAACACGCCCAACTCTCTGGAGCACTGTTGGATCTCTTCAAGAGAGAAGGTCTGGGTTGAAGGATGGAAGAGTTTTGGAGAGGAGGCTCCGTCTGACAGTGGATCCTCGGATTGTGGAAGAGCAGTGTGGTTTTCGTCCTGGTCGTGGAACAATGGCAGTTAGTCGGACTCGTTCCCTGTGAGAGTTGGACTCCACCAGGGCTGCCCTCAGTGATTCTGTTCATCACTTCATGGACAGAATTTCTAGGGGCAGTCAAGGTGTTGAGGAGATCCGTTCTGGTGGACTTAGGATCGCATCTCTGCTTTTTGGATGATGTGGTCCTATTGGCTCCATCGGGACGTGATCAGCAGCTCTCGCTGGAGCGGTTCGCAGCGAGTGTGAAGCGGCCAGGATGAGAATCTGTGCCTCCAAGTCCAAGGTCCTGGTCCCTCACCACGGTCCCAGGGAGCCCCAGGGAAGACCCAGGACAGGCTGGAGGGACCATGTCTCTCAGCTGGCCTGGGAACGACTTCGGGTTCCCCCAGAGGAGCTGCAAGAAGTGGCAGGGGACAGGAAAGACTGGGCCTCCTTTCTGAAGCTGCTTCCCCCGAGACCCGACCCTGGATTAGCAGCAGACAATGGACGGAAGGACAGACGGGTGGAAGGACGGACGGACGGGTGGAAGGACGGACGGACGGACGGAGGGACGGACGGAGGAACTTTTTTCACGTGAGATATCCTTTTTCTGTTTGCCTTTACTGTTTTCCCTTGATGTTGTTTAATGGTTACTGTTGTAACCATAAAACAATCTCTCCTTCAGTTTACCTTATAGCTGGAGACACAGTGTTGATGTAATCATTATAAAATAATCATATTGATCTTTGACAAAACTATTACGTTTTGTCAAAGATCAATATGATTTTCACTGCGTTGTTGTTTGCAGCTGCTGACAACAACAAAAACGCAAAAGTTACAGTAAATAACTATTTACTGTGAAATAGCTAACTATTTCACAGTAAATACCTATTTACTTATTTACTATTTAGTTATTAAACAGTAACTATTTAACAGCAAATAGATACTGCTAATGTCAGTTACTTTCCAAATAAAGTAGTCAGTAATCTAAATTACTATTTAACATTAAATAGTTTAACCTTCAGTTTAACCTTATAACTGGAGACAGTGTTGATGTAATCATTATAAAATTAAATCATTATAAAATAATCATATTGATCTTTGACAAAACTGTCAAGTTTTGTCAAAGATCAATATGATTTTCACTGCGTTGTTGTTGTTAGCAGCTGCTGACAACAAAAACGCAAAAGTTACAGTAAATAACTATTTACTGTTAGTTATTAACTATTAACAGTAAATTACTGTTAAATAGTCATTTACTATTTCACAGTAAATAACTTAGTTAATAACTATTTAACAGTAAATAACTTAAATAGTTAATAACTATTTCACAGTAAATAGTTACTGCTAATGTCAGTTACTTTCCAAATAAAGTAGTCAGTAATCTAAATTACTATTTAACAGTAAATAGTTTAACCTTCAGTTTAAAGGAGACAGTGTTGATGTAATCATTATAAAATAAAATTATAAAATAAGCATATTGATCTTTGACAAAACTATTAAGTTTTGTCAAAGATTAATACTGTAACTGTAACTATAAAAATCAAACTAAATGCTGAAAGTTTTAAATTTGAGTTGATAAATCACATTCTGTCCATTCTGGAGGGATATGTATGGACATATAACGAAAAAAAATAAATAAATATGTGAGCAAAATCTTAGGTTAGAACATCATAATTTAACATTTAACTAAATCCATCGACCATTTTGTTCTTCTTTTGGCCTAGTCAAATTTTAGCTCTCATCAAAATGATGGAGGAATGATTTTTAAGGAGGTAGTATTATGAAAAATCAACTATTTAAGCTTTAATGATATTCCTTCATCCAAAACATACATGGAGTGTTGATTGTATTATTATTATTATTATTATTATTATTATTATTATTATTATTATTATTATTATTATGCATGTTTGAGAAATCCTTTAATCTCTATGTCAACCATTCAGCTGTCCAAAACGTCTGGATAGACATAGCCCCACCTTCGAGATGGGCTACGTAGTTTATATGCTTTAGACTGTTACTTTAAGGCTTAAACAGAAAACAACTTCTTGAATAGGCCAGGGTGGAGGGATATCATATGCTGTCACTGTTGGAACAGATGGACCAGCCCTTCAACTTCATACCACAGAGACAAAGCGGCTGTTTTTTATGTACCGGAGCTTTATGAGCGTGAATGAGGGAATTAGTGGCAGGTGTGCCGGGATGAGGAGGAAGAACTGACAGGAGAGCCGAGTCATGACTAGACTTCAGGCAGCTAGAGGCGTCTCTTACAAATATAATTAATGTCTCACAAACAAATAGATTTTCATTTGTTATCAATGATGGAATCTTAGAGTTTAAGTTGTGAGTTGACCTGAACACGAGGTTTTGATCTTCAGATTGGAAAGCCGAAGGTCACATTGCTGGACATGCCCTCTGCATCCTCAAGAAAAAAGTTGGGAAGAAAATAGTTTAGCCCCTTTTCCATGCTGAAGCTTCTCTTCATGGCTGCCGCTTTGATGCTTCCATGTCATTTCACTCAGTTAGGAAACTTCCTGAGCATAAAAGGTGATTTGATTGCTTTGACTGCAACATTTGAAAATGAAAAGGGAAGAAAAGTAGAAAATCCCACTCTTTAAAGGAAACACCTGCATCTCAGTAAGTCATACCAAAAACTTCAATTTAAATTTCGCAAATTCAATTCAGAAGTGACATTCATAAATTGTACAGACTCATCACCTATATTTGTACAAAGATAAGTGTTTGTTAGTAATGTTGGTGATTAAAGTCAATCAAAATGCTGTGCAAAAGAACGTTCCAAATCAACATACAACCTATGAGAAATTATTAAATAAAGAAAATGTACTCAACATTGATCAGGGCTAGTTTTGATTGAATAACAAGGGATAAATCAGTCTGTGGCTCCACTGACATAACTTGGAAACTTAAGGTGTTTTAATAGAGGATATTTTACAACCCTGTGCCCAAAGGCAACATGGGAACAAATCAGCAGACACACAGTCATATTTTCAGGCATTTAACCAATAAACCTAACAGTAATATGTTTTCTGACAGTGAGAAGAGGTTGGAAAACACAAAAAGATCCAACAAGCAAAGGGAGAACATGCAAAAGTCATTATTCTCGGATTTTGAATGGAACGAACATTAGCCACTCCCAGTCTGACCAGCTGAAATATAACATCAAGCATAAAGTAATCAAACATGACAAAAATTGTGAGTAATGTATAATCAAGGTCAAATTTTTGATTCGTTTTTCAACTAAATTTGGAAAATGGTTTCTTTGAAATTCTAATTTCTTAGGTTTGGTGACCATTTCAGGGCTTCCCTTTGTCTCTATTGCAGGTGTTCTCTGACAAAAACCAAACGTCTTATTCTGAGTTACTAGACTGCAGCAGAGAGAGCAGAAAAAGCAACAATACTGTGACAGGTAAATCAGATTCTACAATTAATCTTAGTCCTTGAATACTGCCACAGAAACTGAATACTAGTCTCAGAGTGAGAGAAAAAAAATAAGACAAGTGCCACATGTTAATGTAGGAAATTAATTAGCCAGCAATAATTTAATGGGTAAAAGTGAAACTAGTTTAAAAGAAAGAATGAACCACATGTTTTTGCAGAATTATTTCTTTCATGTCCTCTCCTTCCTTTTATCACAGCACACCAGTGTCCTGCTGATTGCACCAACATTTGATAGAAAAAATAAAAATAAAAACAAAGGGAACCAAACAGGGAGGAACAAAAGAGCACATGGAGAAGATTTACCTCTGTGCATCCTTTGTTTTCTCAAAGGCACTTCGCTAACACACACCGTTGTTGATGCACGGAAACGCATACTGAGACGAATCCCACAGGCTTATTAATACACGGAGCATCACCGGGATTTCATGAGTATTTATCCTTAATTAGAGCAGACACACGCGCAGCACGGATACCAGCTCCTCCACCACACTCAAGTTTTATTCAATATCCTTTGGAAAACAGAGTGTACTTCTATATAGCGATGTGTGCTGAACCTTTTCCCCTGCCTCGCACCGATTTGCCATTTCCAAACTCCAAGACTATCTGAATAATACCGTCGCTCCGTTAAATGACAAAACCAAACACACAGTGCTCATGTTTGCTGGATTAAGTGCATTCCTTTGCTTCAAATGTATTCATTCCTTCTCATTGAAAATAATTTGAACTTCGCACCTCACAGTCAAATAAGAATTGAAACAGAGTCTGGAAGGAACAAAATATAAATAAATATGGCAAGACATGTAGTGTCTTCTTGGCTTTTTGGACTATAACAAGAATGCTCACTATGGCCACAATTGGGTGCTGAAAATGGTGTAATTTGTCACAGGCCACTACCATTTCCAAAAGCATCAAAACGTCAAGCACATGTTGGGTCTGTTTATGTGCGAGTGTAGCTGGTTTGTTTGGAGGTAATGCGCCGACTAAGGAGAGTTGATACACAATTGGCATCCAATGTCATTGTGACAAAGACAGACGCCCACTTGAAGCTGAATCATCTGTAACATGTTGCAGGCAGCAAGAGCCAACAAACTGTGCATTTTGCTCAGAGAAATTTAGATCCAATCCCAGAAGACTGAGATATAAATATGAAGGGACAGACTTTACCATGAATGGATCGACAGAGGAGAATGTGATAGGAAGTAACTCCACAAAAATACAAGGATTAGACTTAATTAAAAGCAGAAATGCATTTATGCAGGAAAACTTAAAACAGAAAGTTTTCCACCATAAACGTTGACAAGAAAGATGTCAACGTTTTACGTAATTTTAAAAATAACTTGACTTTTCACACCCTTACAGTATTAAGCTGAAATATAACATCAAGAGATGCAGATTGGAACCTTTTGGTTTCCAGATTGACCTGACCAAAGGTTTGATGCCACCAATGATGTAGTTCAGAAATCCTTTATCCAGAGAAAGTATGTGGCAACAATGACAAGAAGCAACTCCCTTAAAGGGAAAAAAAACTCTCACAACCATCCATAGATGTGGTCGACTTCCTCCCAGGCCAGTTCTAGCTAAAACGGCTCATTCCTCTTTTTCGGAACCGCCCCAGGAATGGTACAAATTGGACCTAACCGGATACTCATTAACAGTAGATCAATTTCGTCTATTGGCTTACGTCAACATCTTTTATTGTTTTTTTTGTGGAAGAAGGTGCTTTGGTAGCTTTTGATCAAACATTTCTCTGTGTGGCAGCAAATACAAACATGTGGAAATATTAACTTTCTACTCAGACTAGATAACATAATTATAACTGGATTAGGAATAAGATAGATAAATAGGATGTCATTGCATACATAGCATGCAAAGGCAAAGACAAAGGTAACACATGCAAAAGCTTATGTTGTTGCCAAGGCTACTAATTTGTAGAACATAGCTCAGAAATGCTTTAAAAAGGCCACGTAATGTTTCATCATGTCTTGTCAGTTTGTTTCTACCCTACACTTTTTCCTCAGTATCCTCCACTACCCTCCAATCTTTTTTAGCTATTGTTCTCAACCTCTGTATTTCTGTTCCACAACCTTGCTCTGTGAGCCGAGCTGTCGATAGAATGTTAAAAGTCCAACACTAATGTCCCTGCAGAGCCCACTATCCTGAGAATGGAGGCTGAGTTGAATGCTAAGAGTCTCGACGGAGTAGCAGGATGGCTGCCTCTGCTGAGACTTGACTTGGCGTGGCACCCTGCGTCCGTGTCAGTTGTGTGTGAAAGTGATGTAACAGATGCGAAAGGAAAATGTATGTGTCAAACAGCAAGATTGACAGAATGACAGTGAGCGGATGATGGCGTGTGTGGCGGTGGGTGTAAAGATAAACAGGGCTATAATAAGAACTGCAAATGAGGTTTCATCTCTGTTTCTACTTGTACATCTTGTACTTTATCTGAAGGGACAAAAAAAAGAAAATAATCTGCTCTCTCTTTTTTTTCTTCTTAGTAGACGATATGGGTGGATGTTGAGTTTAAACATTGGCGCATTACCCTGATGCTGCAAAGCATAATGACCTCGGTTGAAAATATTCAATCACACAAGCTTTCACTTTATGGCTGCCAAAAGGTTAAATCTGCAATCAAAACATTAACAGAGTGCCCATCACATGCCTCCCAGCATGCTGACACACAACCATATTGCCAGGCGAATGACAGGTGTTCGGTATGAAAGATCAAGTAGCTTTAATGAAATTTAAATTTAATTAATGGAGCGCATGTTGTGTAATGACAGACTGCCACTGTTGCACTCCATTGACTGCAGAATGATGTGTTCTGGAGCTGGCCTAAAGGTACAACATGGATATTTGCAGAAGTACTTCATGTTTCTTAGTTCTGTTATTTCATCAATGCAAAAAATGAGGACAGACCAAAAGCAGGAAAGCTCAAGGTGTGCAATGTTAAAAATAGCTGTTAAACAAAATGATAGAATGTATGTAAGGGTGTCCAAGAAGGAGAGGCACTTAAATACAGTCCAGGAGGGCTTTGCATATGATTTAGCATTCAGTTCTCTTGATACATTGCATGCCAAACAAGAATCTTAAAAAGTTTCAAAAGTAAAATTTCCTTGATATTGGCATCCTTCAGCTGAAGTCATGATCTGCAGAGACATTACAAAATGTAGATATATCATTATATAAAAAAGGTATCAGTCAGTAGAAGGCTACAAAAACATACAATATGAAGATATCAGAAGGAAATAGAAGAATATAGTGATTTTTCAACAGATGACTTACAATTTCTGTACATTCATTAAATTTTTCCATCAACCACAACGTTTCATTTTCCTTACATGTGATCACACATTGGATTGGTGCAAGTTTATCCAAACTTTTTATTCATAAGGGGTGAAATTTGTCTAAGTCAATACTGACTTGGAGAACAAAAAAATGTGGTCTTTAAAGAGGGAAAATATGCAAATGTTTGCTGAGGTTACTAAATAAAAAATGGTAGGCGGGGAAATCCCAGGCAGCTGGTGTTGGTGACAAATGTACCTCCCATCTCGGAATGAATAGAAACCATGGGAGCATCTTACAGTGCACAAATACATGCTCCTAAACAAACAGCTGCTGTGTCAAGCTCTATCTAAATACAATCAGGATGCACTCACCAAAAGCACAATTTGAATTTCACTCGCTTGGTCTTGGCTTTTTGCCATGGCTCGTCAGCACTTTAGCAAAAGGGATTTTCACGCACAAACACAATAAAGCCCCCAACAGGCGTCTCAGGTGGGCAGGCGAGCTGTAATCCTCTTTCCATCTAAGCACCTTTTTACTGAAGGTAGCGGGGAGAGGAAGAGCTAAGAGCCAGAATTTGTCACCCGGTTCCTTCTGCTCCAGGAGTATTTGCATAGGATATACTCAAGGTGTGAAGATTTATTTAATTGGCTATTTTTTTCTTTCCCAGCATCATGCTGTGGGAACAAAATTAACAAAGTTGTGAGGTGCACTCAAGAAACAGATTAAGATTTCAAGCCTTTTGATAAATGTGTCAGGGTGTTCACACTTGCATTGCACAAATGCATTCACGTGTGTGTGGGGGGGTAAATTCATTGATGGAGGATGGGAGGGTTCCTGGGTGAGGTGGTGAGGCCGAGACGGGAACAGACACCGTTTAGTCGAGAACACAGGGCTCATTTAGGTTACTGCGGGATTAGGCAAGCTGAGCTGCAGGGGCACAGGAATTAAAATGCAAATGAGGACGAGGATTGCACACGAGGAGCGCAACAAGACGAGGATAAAATGGCATGGTTAAGGATGGGCACAATTTGTGTCGGGGGTATTATTTATGTTGTTTTTGTTCTTAATTACTGCCGTTTTGGAGATGTGACAGAGGCTGAACCCAGATGAAACGTATTATACAGCAAAGGACCGGAATATTTTTTTCCTAAAAAGCATTCATGTCACTACAATAAATTTGTAATTCAAATGGTTGGTATGAACCAGGAAGAAAAAAAGAGCCAGAGTTGTGCCTTAAGGAAGACTTGGAGGTGCGATCTTGTTTTCATCACCCACCAAGATCCAGTTGTTAGAATGTAGAGGGCATAAAATATTATCAGTCATTAAGTATCAAGAAGAAAGTCAACGCAGCACTTTAAAGTAAACTATGGTCAGAAAGTCCTGAGTCTGGTATATTTTTTTTAAAAAATTCAGTTGTTTTCTAACAACTACTTAGCTATGAAATTTACACTCTTGAAAATTATTCAAATTTTTTCAGGAAAATGCTTTTAAAAAAAAACTTCCAAAGTCCTAAAAATGCTACACAGGTTTTGTTTTTGGTGGTGTGAAAACGTGGGCAGCAACATGAACAACACAGGGAGTTACCAGCAGAAACAATCTCAATGCAGAGCCAGAGATGAGATTCTGGAAATAGCGGCAGTCCCATAACTCTACTCTCAGAGACTGAGTGGCTTCCTTGAAAATGTCAATACTTACCCCACTGAGAGGGGCTTTTCAGAAAGTAACTCCAAAATTTGCAAACAGAGATTCAGAATGATCTGCCTGCAGCCCTGATATCAACCCTGCTGGAGACTTGTGGGGTTAGTTTTGGAAATGCTGTTTGTCGTGTACTGACCAAGACAATCATACCAGCTGACTTGCCAATAGTTTTCATTCCTCTTTCTTTAGACTTCATTCATCCAGTACAAAAAATATATATCAAACAAGAGTCAGTTGCAAAATAAGTTGTTTAGCATTGGTAGAGCAGATTTGGCCGGCATCACTACCCTGATCATTAATGAAGGTGTTCTACAAAACATCAGCAACAGGGAAGGCTTTCCCTGTTGCATTTACAGTTATTTCAACCATGTTTTCCTTCCACTCAACTTTCCTTTGATGCCTATGGATACAGACAACTATTTATTTAGCAATCAGTGTTTTGCTTTCCTTGTGGAGACTGGAAAGGACTGTTTTCAGGACAATTGTCAAGTATCCCATCTTAATGTAAATATTCTGTTAGCCATGAAGTCATTACCAATCATTTTGTATTGATCTTTATGCAATAAACAAATCTGAGAAAATGATTGCAATGACAAACATTTAGAGAACCAAGCATTTGAAATATCACCCTCTGTGTCGTACAACAAGCAGTGGTGGTTTCAGTTTTCAAGACTGTTGAAA